TCATTCTACAGCCCATCCAAGAGGATATCTTGTATCAGTTAATCCATCCTAGTGATATCACTTGGTTCATCCACTAAACCAGATTACATGACTTTTTTCTAACTACCCAATGCAAAGATTGAACATCACTCTGCTTAACCAACACTTATCGACATCTCATTGGTAATAGAAACTTGAAACCTAAAGTCAGTTGTATCTCTTTACAATTACACTAGAGTATTAGAATAATGAGAGGTGGTGACAGATTAGGGAGGGGGGCTAATGTTCTTTCTAAAATTAAAAGTTCTCATATGGTGTTCATTTCTATACAAGGTTGTCTTCATATCATTCGTCATATCCTTTCAGGAAGTGGGAGATCATAATTCTCCAGAACTTTCTAGCCCTTGTGGCCCTAAATGTTTCTCCCTTTGTCAAGCCTCTACCAACCCCACTCCACCGCACCAGTCACATAAGTTTGTCAGATGTGTGACTCATTGCTTTCTCTTGTCTGTGAGGGTTATGTTTTCCAAGCCCTCTTTCCTCATTGTGTGTCCAAGAAATTTTAGCTGTCTCTTTCTATTTTTTAGTGTAAGTGTTCTTTAAAACTTGCTTATTCACTTGGTTCATGGAATTCTCAGTATCTTTCTGTAGAACCATACTGAGGATATTATTAGTGTTTAACAGGTGCACCAATTCTTTCAATCACTTTATTTTCTAGTGATGTTCTCTATCATTCAAACTTCATTCCACAGGGATTTATGACCCCATTTTTCTCTCTATACATGATCAGCTATATGCTATTTCATCATCTACTACTCCACCCACAAGATCATGGCTTGACAATGTTCCTCCAGCCTTATTTTTAGAATATGGAATGTATGCAATTCTAGGCCATGTTCTTTTCTGAGTGAGACTTAGTTTAGGAGTAATGTATCTAAAAACTGTTTTTATATATTGCCCTGGTGTTGAATGGACAATATATTTACTGAGTCTTTTCTAACATGTCTCCGACATTGGGTAGATGGACCAAGACAATTTTCCAACAATTGTCTTCAAACTTTATATTTCTGTACATGAAGGCTGCTATATTAATAGGAGAGAGACAGGCTTTAGAAAAACAACTAATGCTGATCATCTCCTGTTGATATGTACCTGGGTCAACAATTATGCGATTTGCTTGATGTTGTAGAAGCAACAGATAATCCTTTTTTTTTTCATACTGTAAGTGGCAATTACAATGCTAGTATTATCCAGTCTATGTTGGCTTATGATAAACAAAGGTCCTCAGCTCATACTCTGTGCATGACATTACATATCCAGAAAGGCCAATTTATCTTCCACTGCACATTTTCCTGTTGTGGTTATTAGGCTTAAGATTATACATACAATCCTTGAACAAATGACAGCAGAACAAAAATAATCTCCCTTTTTGGAGTAAACAAAATGTTCAGTCAGAAATTACACAGATAGCCAACAAAATGCTGTAACAATACCAAGAGGACTTTAGTTGGAAAAAAGTCAGTGTATAATAATAATATTAAAAAAGCATTAATTCTTAGAGAAATAAGTAAAAACCAAAAGAAAATATAATTACCGAGACATTTCTAAACCACAATCTTATTAAAAAAAAAAATTTAAAAAAAATACATTTTGCTAAGAAACAGTAGCAAGTTATTTCTTCAGTCCATAATATATTAAAATAGCAAAACACAAAGATGACATTTATAACAGAAACTCTCGTATTGTTTCACTGCCAAACTATATATTTTCAGGGGGCTTTTAAAACTAAATATGAAAATGAAAATGGTACAAACATAAAAGTATGATAGAAGATATTTTCTATCTTGCATCAGAGAAGAGTATTTCACTTGTCAATTGTTTATAGCTGATAAGGTAAATTAATGCAATCAAAACATAAAAATTCAAACTCATAATATTCCTCTTCTCTGTATGTCAGCAAATAAACACACAATTAATTACTGTTCTTCTATAAAAACCATTGCTGCTATGTAACATTTCTACATCAACACTTCAAATTGACAGGGGGGGGTCACATTAACAAGTAACTTCCATTTGCCCTCACTTTATATTATACCTATGCATTAGACAAGATTTATTTCATCAATTCAACCTTATACTTAGTGTGCATACACACACACACACATATATATATATAACACTTTATTCACACTTTCTATGAGAGAATTTGTAGAAATCAAATAGTCAATCCTTTTGATTAATGACTACTTCAAACATACATTGCTCAATTAGGTCAAGAATACCCATAATTCTCTTTATCTGTGAAAGGAAGCAAACACCAAATGCTTATTCAAATTCAATTGTCTTAAATATTCTAACAAACTTAGATGACATTCTGTATTTTCAGAGGATATTGTAAGAAAACCTTATTAAGTCAATTAAGTATCAAGATAATGGCAAACTAAAAAGAGACTCAAACTGTCAACAAAAGCTTGAACAACAAAATACAAAGCATTTTTTTGACAATAAAAACAGAAATATAACAGAATTCTATAGAGACCCCAATTGTACAATTGTTGTTCATTGATTATGTGACAGTATCAAATGCAGTGCATGTTTTGCATTGACTAATTTGTTGAGCAGCAACAGTGTTGAATCATGTTGTGACCCCTCCCCACACACACACACACATTTGACAGCCACTGACAATCCTGTTCTTGCATTACCTGCAATTTCTACGCATTGTGGATGCATGCCTGGAATTAACATCTTCCTGATATATCAGACAATTAAGGAGGAATAGACCTATGTTCAATATGAGCAAAGCTTGCAAACAAAATGCTGCTCAAAAGATCTGTCCATAGACTGAAGAGCATCTTTGCCTGAATCAGACTTGGTACATCCACCACAGTAGAAAATTCCCGCATGAAGGACTTATCGAAGGAGTTAAATGTCATAACCTGAAGGCAGTTATCACATTTATGGACCTCTGAAAAGCTTTCAACAGTCTCCACCATGACAAATGTTGAAAATACTTTGATCATGTGATATTCTTGATAAGTTGGTATAAATGTAAATTGGCTTAATATCTTAAACAAACAAAATGGAGAATTCTTACACCAGATGGTAACACAGACTTTTTGAAAATCACGGTGGGAATGCTTCAAAGGGGATACACTAGCTCTATATCTAGGATTTGCAGCGGATAGAAGAAGTTGCCATCACAAGCCAACAATAATAAACGACACTGACTTTGTAAATTATATTTCTCTGATTACAAAAGGAAGAAGTTGAATGTCCAACTCATTCAAGGACTTGGAAGTGAGTCAGCTTGTAATAAGCTGTTGAAAATCTGGAAATCAAAACTCAAAGATACAGATCTTCCTAAGTAAAATATAGAGTCAGTCCTCCTGCATGGAAGCAAGACATAGATCACCAACAAAACCTTCTGTAAGAGGCTAAATGGACAATATACTAGAATGTTAAAAACAACACTTAATATACACTGTAGTGATAAACTAATGAACTCTACAGAAATCTAATCCCAGCCTCAAAGAAGATAACATTGAAAACAATGAAGTTTGCTGGTTATTGCTTATACCATCAAGAAGAATCACAACTCAAGAGAACAGAAGCCAGCAAACCATGACATTTTCAGATATACTTATTCAAAATACTGGCATCAAAAATTTGGATAAACTCAAAACAGCTGCGATGGATTGGAATAATTGAAGACAACATGCTGAGATGTTGCAAGTGCAGCCTCAGCAAAACTAACAGGTATACCCTTGCTACAGTTGCCCGAGAAATAATGAGAGAAGCTGTTACCTCAGAGATAAACTGGCACATCTTTTGGATTGCAGCAATTATTATTCTGCTGTCAATATTAAATCCTGTCCACAGATCATGGCTGAGACAGTTACACTACCACTTTACTTATTACACTACACACAAGTGCATTTAATTAGTGGCGAATATACTGCAGTATCTAAATTGTCTGGCACTTCAGTTTTTAGATATTATTGTATGGACTCCTTCTTATGACTAATTGTCTTGTTTGTTCATTATTCACCACCAAAGTGTGTTCCAAAATATTGTTGAATCAACAACATTCTAAGACATAACAGTGTAAAAAAAAAAAAAAGTCCAAAGAAAAGTACACCTGATTAAACAATCATTTAGACAAGTACTACTTTTGCAACTTATCATCAATACCTATTTCTACAGATTACAGCTGAATGGAATGTACTTTTATCTAGGGCCTACAATTGTTATAAAGAGCCCATAATTTTTAAAGAAATCTTAAAAACTCATAAAAAGATACTTTGAATAAATTCACTTCAAGTTAAATTTAAATCTGAGCCCCTTTTCAGGCACTCAATATTAATAGAGAACAAAACCTGGTAGGAAAATCATCTGGTGCCCACCCATGCCAGTATTTTCAGTTTTAATAAATATACATTTTCACAACTTTCTTAGTTGTGAAAATGTATATGTATGCTCCCATTATATATAGTGAGGTTTCTATTTGAATTAAGATAATATATTTAAAACCAATAACTTAGAGTTTTCAAAATTTTACATTATAATTAACAAGAGAAAAGCTTTGAATGAAACAGGTTTCATTCCAGTCAGTTATTGCAGCTTCACAATAAACCAAGAAAACTTCTATTATGCAGATTTAGTAGGACTGAGAGAGACACAAATACTGAAGGAATCTTACACACAAAACAATTTTACAGTCATTTTCTTTTTTTACAATTTGTAAAAAGCTAGAGAAGTTATGAAACTGAATAAATAGAAAAATGTTCAGATGGAAAAAGTATCATTTCTCAAGGTTTTTTATGGTCACTAAACTAAATCAAATGTTGGCATCTCTGCTTAAAAAAAACTTTTAAAGAAAACTTAATAGTGGCAAATAAAGATGAAAACTGTAGAAGAAAAATAGACATGTAGAAGGCAATAATAATAGTTAAGAGATTGAAATTATATTCACGTATGAATAGAAAGAATAATTTAAAGAAAAAAAAAAACAAACTTACCCTAAAGAGGTAGGGCTGAATATCTGGATAACTGGTGTCGAAAACAAGATCCAAATCTTGCAAGTTAGGTGTCTTTGGTACATATTCATGTTTATTCATAGCTTCAATAATATGAACAACTTTGTCTGATAACACTTCTCCGAGCTTTTCTCTTTGTTCCTGTCGATCTGAAATTGAAAGATTTCATAAAAATGAAAAGGCATTGCAGGACAAACAGCTTAAGAAATCAAAGATACAATGTCTGAGAAACTGCCATTTTGTTTTGAAATTCTTAGATATGTAGAAAAAAAAAAAAAAAAAAAAAATCAACTAAGTATAATATAGTGGAAAAAATAAATTGTGTTTTATGCAAAGAATATATCTTAGAGAAAGCATCATGGCATTGCTCTGGATTAAAATTACTATAAAAAAAAAAAAATTAAAATTTTATCGTAGTAATACTTTTAACACGATGCTGATCAAAAGTAAATTTTGATATGAACCAAAACAAAGAAATGTCATTTTTTTATGCCAACTCTTGTAGACTGAAATATTTTCCAAGTTTCCTGTAGGAGAGAAAGTGAAGTATGCTGTAGCAGCATCAACAATAGCGTAAAAGATGAGTAGACATGACATAGTTTGAGATTGAAATCACTGACAACAAAGAAACAACTGATCAAAATAAAGACAAGAGTAAGAAATTCTAATGCACTTGCCTGATTCTTTATCTAATACAACCACTTCAAGTTTTATCGTCCATATTTCCCATGGCACACATTCCTGCTGGAATAACCACCGACTTCGCCTCTTCTCATAAAACTCTAATGAAATCTAAAAACACAAGTAAACACTGTTAGGAAAAGAAAGACAAGAAAATCTCCAAGTGTTAATCTCAATATTGAAACAAAAATTTTTGATTACTATAAACTTATATTTTTGGTAAATTTTAATCACAATATTTTTTATCATTTTTAAAGATGGCAATGATGTGTTTAAATTTAACTAAGTTAAACTTAAGTAACTTAAATTTAGTTGAAAGTAAAATCTTTCATGAAAAAGTAAAGATAAAAACTTGTCATGTTTGATAGAGAAAGAAACTATTATAGACTATATTTACTAAAGTCTACCTAAGGGGGGGAGGGGAATCAATCAATATTGATATTAACTTCATTGTAGAAATTGCATAAGATTTCATTATGGATTAGGGAGAGAGAGGTTTGATAATAATTCCATAAATGAAAATATCAATTTGAACTTCATTTCTTATCCAAACATATTACAACAAGTCACTTTGATTATAACGATGTCATTAGAATGTTTTAATACTAGACAAAAATGAACGTTTCCTTTATTATGGCCAGATAAATCTAGAAGCTACAATACTCTACAAATAAACACAGGTATTGAAAATGCATAAAAACTTGAAACCATGTCAAACTTACCTGCCCAGTTGTAGGGCCACTTGCCTTTCTCAAGGCATCTTTAAAGGCAGAAATTTCTTTTTTCAAATGTCTGTCAAGTTCATCAGATGAAACACGTACCTGCATAAAAATTTCAAAACAGTGAACATTTTACAAATAAACAATTCTTATCTATGTGGCTGAAACTGTTGTTTTTATAAGAAATAATGATAATAAATTGATGTCCCTTCAGTTATTTATAAAACCAAATGAAAATACTTTTTATAAATGCAAACAACAGAAAAGCCCAGAAAAGTTTCAAATCATTTTGTATCTTCCCATATAAATAAAATTCATTTCAATTTTGTGAGGTGTAAGTTTAATGGAACTTTGAAGACTTTTGGACCATTAGCCTTAAAATCATCATCATGTATATAATGTTGGAATACACTGTAAAAGAAAGAAGTAAAAAAAAAAAAAAAAAAAATATCAAAGAATTATACAAAGCAAATATGCAGCACAGATTGGGTAAATGGTTTGCTAGCAGCTTGTTAAATCTGGTAACAGAGTTTTATTCAGTTCATTGCAGAAAGGATTCATTTATTTTTGTTAAATTTATGCAAAATCATCACTTTGACTAATAACAAATTTATGTGTTCTTTAGATAATGGCAGTCACTTTACAGGTTTTCTGTTAAGGGAAACGATTGAAATATATGCCGAATTGAAGTTGTCTCCCTCACTTCTAATTTCTAAGGTTGTCTTTATAGAGTTCATAGAATTTGCCACTATGTCTGTGGAATTTAGACAATATGATGTACAGACAAAGAGACAGGATTTCTATGGGTAGGTCCTTTGGGTCCTGCGATGAACAACATTTTTTTTGGATTTTACAAGCAGGATTTACTTGCTTATATTGAAAATATTCAGCATTATTTTCAATATGTTGATTACATCTTCAGTGCATTTGATAGTGATGAGTGGTCAAAGATTTTTTCTGGATTGTTAAATGAAGTATACCCAAAAAGGAGAACAACCAAATTTTGTTTTGTCTGTATGTGTGCAGTACAGAATATGATCGGACACACTGTAAATCTATTTTTACTGGATTGTATATTCATTGGGATTCTTTTTCTTCTAAACAAGAAAATTGAATCTCTTCAAAGCTCTAGTCCATTGTACCCTAATTTTTTGTTCTAAGATCAAAATATTGAAATTGAATTTATTACAAAAGGTTTCATTTGAAAATGGCTCCCCTCTTGATATTGCTCTAGATTGCATTCATGCTAAAATTGTATAATTTAATAAACCCAAATTATCCAGAAAAGTGTCATATTCACAATCACTTTGAACTAATGAAGTTCAATACAAGATTCCCTATGCAAATCCCTCAAAGTGTGTAGCTTTGTTATTTTTCAGCCAATCTGTGGCTTGTTTCCAATTCCCAATCTATGTTGAAATCTATTCATGAAGATGTTCTACACACCCACCATGTTAGATCATTGATTTATAATTTTAAACATCAATGTGAATATATAGGCAGAACTAATCTGAAGCTGAAAGCAAAAATGGATATATGCTTGTCAATACAATCAGATCTGTGATTGCAGAACACCTAATAGGTAATTCAATTTGAGTGTCTTTCAGAGATATTTTTATTAGTCATCAGCAGAGCATATTCCAATTACCATTTGAAAGTGCTTGTTACCCTGTATATCAAATCCAAGTAACCATCTCACTGTGATCAGAAGGAATGCTTGCTAGGTTGTAATGTAATCTGTTAGTGATTCATAGTGCTGATTCTCTGCTAATATTCCATCCTACACATTGATTTTACTTGTCATGCACATATTTATTTCATCAATTGAGCTCACAAAGTGCAAAGAGTGATAACCAGTTTGCCTTTTTTTTGTCACATATTTCAATTTAGCACTTTATGGTGAGTAATTTTTATTTTTTTTTTTTAAATATTTTCTCCTTTTTTCACAATAAAAGATATATCTGTTTAGTTTTATAGGTGTTAATTTTATAGATGTAAATATGACAATATCAGAAAAAAACAGGATCATTGATCAGCAAAGTGAAAGCCCTATTATGGTTTGAAAGCAATGTTAAAAAGATTTCATTTTTTTTTAGATTTGTATCAGAATAGTTATTGAAGTTATTTGATTGATTTCTGGTGGAAAAATATCACTTCCAACTGCAAATTTGAACCTGATTTCTCACAGTTGCAAATAAATAACACAATATGCAGCAGCACATCGTTTTCTTTTTTTATCTGCCACAAGAGATAATTCAACAATATTCCCAACACATATTTACCATACAAAGTGAATCTCACTTACATAGGTAAAATCAACAAAGTCACAGTCTACATCAGTCATGCCAACTGTGCCAATTGCATAGCCATCTTCCTTCCAGGTAAACTGAAAATAGAAATGGATGCAGTGCAAACTTTCAAATGAAAATATTAAAAAATGCAAACATAACAAAACTTCTTTAAATGAATTCTTGCTGTCTCTCACATGCACACACATGAATGATATATATATATATATATATATATATATATATATATATATATATATATATTTGTGAGTAGCATAAGGTTTAGTAGCTTTGAAAAAGAAATCAGCAAAGTTGAGTTTGAATTCCAGTTAGTTACATTCACTTTAACACAAATCCCCTTGCAAAAGGCATATGTCCTTCAGTTATGGGTTAAATAGCAGGAACCACTAGGCTCTCTAACCTTGGTTGGCAATCAGTTTAGGAGAAGGACAACTGAATTAAAACCTGAAAAGTGCTATCTATGCATCATTTCTCTCATTTTGTTTCAAAAAGTGTGGCTAGGTCTAAAAAGAAGCTTTCAGTACTATAATCAAATCATATGTGTAGGTATTCCACTTAAGTGGACTCTTTCATATATATATATATATATATATATATATATATATATATATATATATATGAGAGATTGTTTAAAATTTGTTATAATCATGGAAAAAAATTACTCACTATCAGAGATAGCACATTAGTACATATAGATAGTGTGTGGACATTTCATGCCTCAAGCACACTTCAGACTACATCCACACTGATAGATATGAATGTGTGGGTTTTTTTTTTTTGGGGGGGGGGGTATAATGATGATGTTCAGCTCAGAATGAGACCCAAATTCGAATTCCACTTTGTTACATTAACTTTTATGCAAATACTCTAAGAAAGGAATTAATCTCTTCTCTAAGCTACAAGTTAAATAGTAGGACAAACTGAATTCTTCAGCTTTGATTGAACTAGAAGGAGGATAATTTTAAATTCAAAACCCTAGCAAAACTGTTTCAGTACATTGTGGCACACTGTATTCAGTTTTTCCCAAAAGAGTGGATGGCTTTGCACAACCCTCTTCACCACTAGAATCAAATTATATGTGCGGATAGAGTCTGGCTGTTCAGTTCTAGGGGCTGAACAGGTGGACACTCATATGTCAAAGACAACAGGAGAGTCCATCAGATGGATAGAGGACATTTTTACAATGCCAAAGCCATAGGAAAGGTACCTAATATTGTGTAGGATTCCCTCTCAATTCTACAAATGGTGGTAAAACTTCTGGAAACATGTTGAGCTATAACATTCTGGTAATTGTTCACAGTTGCCCATGTTTACAGGTGCAGGGTCTGCAGTGCCCTTTGCCATCATATCCCATAAATGATCGGTTGGGCAAACATGGTGATTAATCAGAAGTCTCCAGAAGACTCCTCAAACCTTTTCTGATCCCAATGCATTTTCCTGCTGGAATGACCTCTCCATCATTGTTGTGAGGGTACATGGAACTCATGAATGGGTTCAAATGGTCACTAAAAAGTGAAACAACTGTCTCCAATCAATAACGTGTTTAGTTAGACCAGCAATCCCAACCCATACCACATGAACACACTCCAGACCATTATGAAACCACCAGCAGACTTCATGGCCTCATGCAGTTTATACAACACACAAACCCTATCAATCTGAATGAACTGGAACTGTGACTCATCAAACTATACCACACAAGTCCTCCAATTAAGAATGTCACAAGCCCAAGTGGGGCACTATTTCTAATATTAAGATGAACACTCAGGTGGATCTTCTATTCTCATATCCCATGGAAGCTAAAGAATGCCAGACCTGACCTGATTGTAATTAAGCCTCAATCAGCTACTTCAATGCACTGCACATGTGATGCCATAAATCAAGAATGTGTCAAATGTCATTTCATAAATTAAATATCCTTTTCCTTTAGGATCCACAATACACCCAATAATACACATTCATTTGCTAGGAATCACCTAGCCAGTATTCACCAATTCACCAGATGTCAGTTCACAACTGATACAGGTCTCTTCATATTTCCATGACATCAAAATATGATAGTGCCACCTACCATTAACTTAACAATGACTTTTGACACAGTGTATATTCTTGTTTTAGGCATAATATTATTTTGATTTGTGTTGATTAAATTCCTTGTTTTTATAAATAATTGTAATAAATTTTATATCTAGATTGAATAAATTCTTTTTTTTTTTTCAGTTATAGCCATTATGGAGTAGTGTGATATGCAGAGTTTTATCAAATTGTTTTGTTTAAATCATTTCACTCCAAGCAAGCCAGTAAGACATAAGGAGTTACTTAAAGTAAAAGAAACATAATAATAATAAAAGAACAGGATTCAATGAGAAGATATAATTGACATTGCAAAGTACAAGAAGTTTTGAAGGAAATTTTTGAAAGTTTACAGGAAAGTAAGAAGCTGAAAGAGAATTGCATTAGTGAGAAGTGTGGGGGAAGAAACTATTAACATAAAACTTACATTTACAACTAACAAATTCAATAGTGAAATTATGAGACCAAGCTGCCAATCTAGTAATATCGTGCTTAAATTTATGAAATCAAAGTACCAATGAGGAAAGCTAATCAGAACAGTTACCATGAAAATATTTATAGAAAATGCACAGGGAAGCTATGTGACAGCATTGGGAAAAGAAGATGCCAGGTCAGGAATAACATTGTAGATTCCTCTTTGGATTTTGAGTAGAAGCACCAGACTTGATGTGGCAGCAATATTCAATGAATAGTAGACTGATAAATGTGCAAAATAGATTATGTCAAGAGAAACTGTCTAGTGACCAGACTTTCCTAGTAAGAGACTTTAGTAATTGATTCAATATAATTGTTCCACTTCATGCCAGCAAAAAACATGTGGCCAAGAAAGTGGATAGAGTTGTTCTGTTGGAGGTTAGCATCAGGTAAAAAAAGGTTCTCTAAGGAGATTTAAAAAGAGCTGCATTAAAATTAACAAGCCATTTCTTGCCTCTGTTAATAACAGATTGAAAGTCATTTTCAAGATCAGCTGCCTTGTCATTTTCTTTTTTGTAAGCTTTCCTCTTCATGAAAGATACCGAAGTTAAAAAGCATCTTCATTATATTTTTCTTTATTTTTCGGTAAGACATTGAAGGCAACAAATACTAATTGATCTTGAGTAGAAACATAATTATTCTGGATTCTATTTTATTGCTGTAGTGGGAGGTGAAGTTTGAGATAATTTTGGTTTGTGAATATTCTGCAGATATTTAGTTTTAGATGCTAATTAGGGCAGTTTAACATGATATCAAGAAACACTAATATATTATTTGCTTCTATTTTTAAGGTAAATTCACTTGTATGTTTTTAATGCGATTTAGTTTGTTTACAAGATCAGCTAATATTGCTTTGGATGAATATATCAGTAAAGCATCAATAGATCAGAAATATGTGAATTCTTTACATAAAATATTTGGGAAAGGACAGTTTCTAGAAATTCCAAGAAAAGCATTTTTAGAGGGGGCTTGTTTTCTGTGAAAACAGAAAAACAGGTGGGAAAACAGAATGGCCTACTTGAAATGGAATCACAATTTGGAAATGAAAATTTTATTCTAAATCAGATTTGCCTAACAAACATCAAAGGATAAAGTCAGTAATGTTTTAATATGTCCTCCCTCCTTACCTACTGTCTCCGTACAGTTTAACAGATTTAGGAACTAAGTTTTACAAAGTTGGTTTCAATTAATAAAAAAATATTTTAAAAAAGGTGGTGGTGGTGTTGGGGGGTGGAACAAAAATTTCCTTTTTTTTTTATCCTTTCTTTTTCCTATAACACATGATGACTGAGGTGGGGCAGTTTGTTATTTCAGAAAGCCAAATTTTACAAATTTGTTTTCTTTCAAAAGTTTTATTTCATAATTTCAATAAAATGACCAAATGATAGTGTAGCTGTTTGTCTCTAGATGACTTTTCAATAATTTATTTATGGGAATTAATTTAAAACACGACTTTTTTTTTTGTTGTTGTTAAACACCTTTTGGCTCTTTACTGATTTCAACCTGCTGGTAACCCTACACACACATCTAAATTAGTTTTACTCTTGTAAGAATTTAAAAAGAAATAACTATAAACTCAAGTGCTGCATGAAACAAAACAAAACAAAAAAAAAAAAAACAATACATTTTGATTGCAGAGATCTATTTAAAAAAAAAAATGTATAGAAAACTTGAAGCCTGGACTGATAAAATTGATTTGTTTTTTAAACCTAACATGGAAAAGCAACAGGCTGCTTTATATAAAGAACACACAACCTCAGCCTTGAAAGAGACTTTTCCAAAAAAAGAAGCAATGGCGAATGACTTCAGTTTCTAAAATTTGTGCACAAGCCAGAGTGGAACAATTTCCAGAAGCCTTTTATGCTGATAACAATGTGCTTTTCTGCAAATTTTGACATCATAGTGTTGATCTTGTTAGGGTGGATACTATAAAAAAGACCATATAATGTCTAAAAACCATTTGATAAAAAAGGCTTCTAAAAACAACCCACCATAAAAACAGATTACTTACTACTATAACAACTTTGGTGAAAAGTAAAGATATAAGAAATGATTGCATCCTTGATTTTCTTTTTAAAAAATGTGTATGACATGTGACATACCTGTCAATAAAATTGACAAGTTGAGACCTTTTTGTTAAAGTATTGTAAGGAAAGTGGTACTACTCATGCTAAAAGGTTACATCACATTTTCAGGATGTATTCAGTACAAAGTTGAACAAATGCTTGGCATATGAGTTTTACAAATAAGCTCATTTGTTCAACCCCAGACAGCTACCATTTATTAGCCATGACATTGGCAGTGGCAGTTTTGCAGTCACCAAAAATTTGCAAGATCCATTCCAGTGAACTCTTTGAAGAATTTTATATTTATATAAACTACAAAGATGACCTAACAAATCCCTTTAGTAAAACACCAAACAGCTTATGATGCTGTAGCTTAATGGAGATTTTGAGAACAGATTTTAAACATTGCTGATTTCTCGGTTTGATGTGATTGTATTTTTTCATACAGTAAATCAATAATTTTAATTTATATCAATACCTCTAAAAAAAAAAAAAAAAAAAAAAAAAAACGCTTGAGCAGTTGATACTTTTACTTTAAAAATTTTTGAACTTAATATATTTTTAGAGTGATGAAATCATGTTTATTTTAATTTTGTTGCTCATTTAAACATTCTAAATCACACTTGAGACCATAAAATAGATTAAATAAATAGGTTGCTTTCACACTAAGGTTATTTGAAGTAATTGGAATCTAAAAAGGAACAATACTGTCATAATTAGCCTTACCTTTCAATATAGAAACTTTTTCACTGTGCTTACAATTTTATTTGACTAAAATGTTTACAAAGTTTTTGTTGTTTCTGATATGGAATATTCAAAGATTTGGGATTTTATTTATGCTCAACTCTTAATACTTTCAGTGGTCTGTGCTGTTATTTTTCTGTAGCTTTTGCCACTTTCATTTAATTCTTATTTAGGATTGTAGCATTCTTTGCAAGGGTTGTCCCTTGAAATGCATCAAGTTAGATTAACGGCAGAAATATGAGGTACAAAACCCTATCAAGATGGAGCAACTTGCCCAACAGGTAGATATTCCAACTAGTAAAATTTTGTATTTTTTTTTGTTTTGATAACATTTATATATTGTTACACTTTCTCACAAAGTATTAGAATGAAACAAAAACAGAAATCTATACTGAAAATGGAGAAAACCAAATTCCCTAAAACCTGAAAAAGAATTAAGGAAAATTTGGAACAGAAAATCAGTCCATCTACATTTTTTAACTGTTTGTGTATAAAGATTAAAATCTAAATTAGCTACATATTTATGTTTCATATTTGTCTTAATTTGTTAACAAGTTTGCTGGAATTTTTAATATATGAGGGGTTAACTGTTTCAAGAAAGGAAGGGTTCAAATTTTTGTTTTCACTAATCTATGAGGTGCACTGCCAATTTTCAATATGACTGAACACATAGGAAAGTGAGTAATTTGATCATTTGGATTATCTTTTGTTCTCACTATCTACATAAAAATATAATGAAACTACTTTTAAATTCTGTCAATATCTTAATTATTACTTCTTGCCTTTATCTTTAATTGTGGCAAAAGAGACCCTGAATCACATGCAGACAGACATGTCTGTCAACATCAGTTACAGTTTTCCCCATTAGCATCAGAACAATTTGGCATCTCCAATATGGGCATTATTGCAACTTGTCTAAATCCAGGTTGTTATCAACTGTCTCCTGTTGATAAAAGCAATGGGAAAATCAGTAGTCAGCAGTGGGTAGTGGGTGAGACTCAGTGTCTTGTGAAGTCAGTCCCTTGGATATTTTGTTCCTCAAGTTGTGTGCCACTCACAATGCTGTGATTTCTGAGACAGTGTTGTTATTGCTCTCACATCTCTCTCTTCTCTGCCTGTTAGTTCTTGGGAGAATAATCAGTTAGGAACTTACCCCCATAACCTAGACACACCCTTGCCATATTTCTTATGTAAACTATAGCTTCCATTTGCTGTAGTTTTCTCCTTTTGTATATCAGATTAATTTCATCAATGAAACATTTTATCTGAAGATTTCACAACAAAAAGTGCCAAGCAGATATTTTCCATTTTGTGATTTATTTCTTCCCCCTGTATATCTCCTGACAGAGTAAAAAAAAGTAAACGAGGTGAGATTAATTCATCCTTACATTGACTCTTCAGAAAGAGAACTGAACAAAATGAAATTGCTTGAAAGTAAAAATTGTTTTTTCTCAAAATGGAGTAAAGAATTGTAAAAGGTCCAAAAATTGCTAACATGTTCAATCCACCTTCCAGTCAAGATCTAAATGTTTGCTGTTTCAGCATCATAATACTACTACTACTATTATTATTATTATTATTATCTATTATGGGGAGGGAGATTGGATGTCCTGTTTAAAGTCTAGGAAAATAAAATTCATACAAAGCTACAATTATTTGGACAGTAAGCCATACTGCATGCATTGTTTATGATAAAAAAAGGTCAATTCTTTTACAATATAGAAAATTGTACACTTTGATAATTGCTTTGAATATTTATATAAACCGTGAATATATTTTTTAATTTTCAACTGAGTTGGTTTTTAGAAATTTGGAACAAAAGTGAAACCAACAACACTTACCTTGCCTAATGTTCTGTGAAAGAGTAAAGCATGGAATATACCTGAAAATAGGTTTTTAAAAAAATTATCAGGAACTGAATTTACAGGAAAACATACACACTGAAATACATTATTAATTTATTACAATGACAATATGAATACTGCAAACATTTTCAATAATAATTGAAATAAAAGAATTCAAAACAATAAAAGGATAATTGATATAAATACTTCTTTAAAAAGTAAACACCAACAATTTTAGGTCTTTTATTATTTAAGATTTTACTGATATTCATGCCAACATTAGAGAACTGGAAAACACTAGACATTATTCCCTATCCCCATCTGTTGCCTTGATCACAACTTTTTAATCAGCTTCTTCTGAAAGAAGCTTGAACAGAGTGCTTGCCTCATTTAAAACTAATCAGTTATCAGATAATACCATTTACACCCAAAGAGGGTCAGAGACAGCACTAGCTGAAATAGAGTAAAAGCATAATAATGTGAACAATTGGTAGAATAATAGCAAAGTACTTCATCTCAAAATTTTATAAAATATGACATAAGATTTATAAACAGTAAACCATGAGAGAGAGAGAAAAAAAAAAAATCAATTCAAATAAAATTTTTAAAAAAAATCTATTCAGTTGCTAGTCTAATTGCCATAAAATACTCAATGAGAAATACTTATTAATTGTACTTTTATGAAAGGTTAGAATCTGATGACAACACTATTTTCATTATGCAATGAAAATCAAAAAACACTAATTGAAAAGTAAAACTGACCATAAAATAACTATGCTTACTATTTGGCTCAAATCTTTAAAAAAAAAAAAAAAAAAGATTTTGTTTTTATAAACATGATGCAGATGCAATTCAAATAAATTTAAGAATTCTTTAGATAAAGACAAAACAAAATCTTTGTCATTCTTAATTTGGGCTTGTATTCTAAATAAGAAAAGCATGGTTAAAACAAGGTTATTTGGGGTTTTTTTTAATCTGGTTTTCACACGCACACACATTCCCACACAAACTGCATCTACATAAAAATAAAAACAAATTTTTTTAAAAAAGTACCCAGACTAAATAAGAAAAATAAATGACATTAGATAATGACAGAGGAAAAACTTTATTGGGTTCTAGAAAGAATTGTTTTTTTTCTATAAATTCAACAGAGTTTGTCAAATATTAGATTTTTAAGTGTTAACATAAGTTTTCATTTCATAGGGTTTAATTTAAAAACATCTAAAATATAAAAACTACAACCAAAACAAAGCAAATGAGTTGTTGGTAAACATGCATTTTGAAAATCATTTTCTAATGAGTTTCTGTTAAAATAGGAGGTGATTAATTAGTAGAATATTTGCTCTGCTAAGGTATTCAACAAAAGTACACAATGAAAGTAATTTCCTGCAACTATATAAACAAAGTGGTGTGTATGTGTGTTGTATTTGAAAGAACAATGTGAAAATCAATATATCATATTAAAAGCAGCTTATTGTAATTAGTATCTCTATAGCTAACAAACAATACCAAAAATCAAAATAAAAAACATTTTAACAGTAATAAATAATAATAATAATAGTGTATAATAAATGCCTCCCTGCCTCATCTTCATCTGTTGTTCCAGTTTTTAAGAACTCAGGTGAACTGTCCAACCCTTCCAATTATTGGCCTATTAGCCTACTAACTCTTTTTTAGTAAACTACTAAAGGCCCTAATCAATGCTAAATTTGTTAAGCATCTCATATCACAGGGCCTTCTTTCAAACAAGTAATATTGATTTTGTTTCTTTAGATCAACTGCTGACGTACTGACAATAATTGCAGAAAGAATCTATCAAAATCTAGATAAGAATGGAAGCTTAGGCTGTAGCTTTGGACATCTCAAAAGCTTTTGACAGGGTTTCAAGTTGAAAAGTTAAGGTATCTCTGGACAAATTTTTTTGAACTGATCCAGTTTTTCTTATTAAATTGCAAAATGAAAGTTATCTGAAATGGCCACTCTTCTAGATCCTTTTGTACTAATGCAGGTGTTCCCCAGGGTTCTATCTTTGGTCCTGTGTTTCTAATTTTCATTATGTACCTTCCCAATGACATCAGCTCTCAACTTGGTATACATGCTAATGATGCAACAATTTACTCCCACCTCGAAAGTAAGTCAGTTGATATGGTCAAATTGGTGGCTGATGTCAAAAACAATCTACAGTCTGTTAACTGGTGCAAAAGATGGCTTGTTAACTTTAACACCTTCAAAACTAAACTTCTCTGCATCTCTTAGTCATCTGAGAGACTCCTTTCTGCTTTCCACCAAGATGGCTGATGCTAACCTCCAGGACAGTGACACTTTGCACCTTCTTGGGCTAACATTCTCAGCTGACAAAGTGGAAAGACTACATTTCTAGGTCAGCTGCTAAGAAAGCTGGTTCACTGTTGTGCTAGATAATTTTTCTCTCCAGAATCTATCTTACATATCTAAAAGTTTACCATTAGTCCATGTTTAGAATACTAAAACCAGAAGAGACATGGCATATGGAACTAGAACAGTCTACCCCGGTAGACAACGCAAAGAGTTCAGTTCAAAATTCCAATCACCTGAGGAAGGCTGGAAATGTGAACATGACAAAGCTGAAGACAATAGTCTGAACAATGTAAACTGTAATGATGAATGTATCATTCTAAATAATTGTTCCTCAAATATTGACAAGAGTAAATCTCCACAACCAAACCCCATGGAATTCTATAGAAGAAAGGTAATAATGTGCATGTAGTGAGATTGTCAAGTATTTATTCATTTAGAGTTCTTAAAATGCAATGTAACACAAAATGCATGTATGTCCAGCAGATGCAACATGTCCATAAAAGTTTGGTCAATAAGCACCTACACTCATCAATAGGAAAAATAATCTTCATGAAAACACAAGAGCACACACAACAAGAATAACATAGAAGAAGAAAAAAAACCTTAGAATTCAGTTGGTTTGTTCTCCCCCAATCACCATATTCACCTGATCTTGCAGCAACAAATTATAACATTTTTCAATTGCAGAAAAAGGCTTTCATGGGGAAAACATTCTCTAATGAAAACCAAATTAGAGTCAAAGAATTTTTATATCAAAACCTGCAGATTTTACTCAAAAAGTATCAAAAAGCTGTCTGAGTGGCCAAAATCATTGTAAATAATTATGAATATATAATTGGATAAAATGTACTTTATTTTTTTAAAGAATAGTTGAAAACCAAAAAAACGGAAATTTATGACTCAATCCAATATATATCCAGTTGCATTAAAACCAAAAGGTTCAGCTTTTTTAAAAAAAAATTAGTGACAAGTTAATTTCTATATATACCAAACTAATTTATCACAGCTACAGAATCATCTAAAATTATTTCAATGCGATTTTAAAGTAAACTGGACACTTACATTATATAAAAACAATTTCCCTTTGCATTATTAAGTTTGTTAATATATTAGAATTAGCAAACTGGCCAAATATGTTTGAAAAAAAAAAAATAAATAAAAAAATAAAACCAGCTAAAATATTCTCAGACAAAGATGCTTTATGGTATTTAAAGATAATGAAGGCATTTAATGAATGTCTACTAAAAATACACAACCAATCATTACTATTTGACTACATGAATCTTTAATAGAAACCTAATAATACTACTAGTTTGATATGCAATTCCATGTAATTCTCTGTATAGCATAACAAAAACAATGACAAAAATGGAAAAAGAATAAAAAATAATTGAATCAAGTAATTTAATATTTACAGTAATAAACATTCCCATATATTCCAGTATTACAGAATAACAATAGGTTTAGCAATAACGGTAATAATGCAGCAAGAGACAGATGAGTCACTTAAATTCTTTTGGTTTGGTATTTTATGACTCACTAAAAAGAACATCCGTCCGAATGTAAAGTTTTTTCCAAGTTATCTCCCTTAGAATATGTTTCCGCCGAACCAATTTTGAGTGATGTTAATAAAGCAACAACATGGATTACGTTTACCATTTAACTTATTACAAAATTAGTTTAATGCAAATACCTTCTTGAATATAAACTAAAGAGAAAAAAATACTTACTTGCAACTGCTTCTTCAATCTGACGGCCCTCTACTTTCTAAATAAAGAAAAATAATTTTGTAAATTAAATTATCAGCACGTTGCATGCTAAACATAGATGATGGATATCTGCACTCAAGATTCTGGCTTTCAATTGCTTATCACAAAAAATAAAAAAATAAATAATTTAAGCTGAATACAAAACATTTCAATAAGTACAGAACATACACAGCAAAGATAAATGACAAAACACATTTATTTTGATTTTTCTTTGATGATAATTAGTTAAGAAAGAAAATGAAATATCTTTATAGACAAAAGGGAAGTTGCTTGAATTTTTCACAAATCAAGGAAAATGACAATCTTTTATCAATTCTACCTAATTAAAACACAAAATCCTCCAAGACGAGGTCATTTATGAATCTAATCTTTAGCAAAGATTAGAACCAACTAACATTTTTCTTTTGTAACAGAGGATATAAGGGATTTTTTCTGCCAAAAATATATCATGAAGATATTCTAAGAATAAATCAAGGAAACCATTAAAACTCTGAAGTTGTCTTGGAACAAAAACATCCACTTACAAAAAGGGCAGTTCAAATTTCTGAATTTTTTTTTACTTTTCATCAAGTGGCCTATATTCTAAATTAGTACAATGTTAAGTTTCAAAACTAAATTATGCCTAAAATATCACAGTGAGGGGAGAAACAGGTAAAAGAGGCCTGATAGGCATGAAATAGGTAACAGCTATAAACTTATAAAATTCATAAAGGATGTGTGAAATTTACAGTAGGTTACCAAATTTCAAGAAGTGACAACTGTCAACACTGTTCCCCTAACCCCACACTGTAGAATGAGGCTCAAAATCAAATTTTAACTAGCCCCAATAAATACTAAAAGAAGATAAGCTATCTATTCAGCCCCTGTCCCCATCATGTCTACAATGAGAGGACAGAGTTTTTATTCATATCATTTGTTTCCTTCACTCTATTTCAGGACAGCAAAAACTTCAGAGAAAATCATTTACTTACTAAGCAGGGACCCATAATGTCACACATTTATGACAGCTTTCAAGAAACTCAGCCACAAACATATTTACATCTATATCACTTGATAAGCTTGTGACAGATTCCACTTCATGTCAGCCGAGAACATTAGCCCAAGAATGTGCAAAGAATCCCTCTCCAGGAGATTAGCATCAGCCATGTTGGTGAAAGTAGAAAGCGGTCTCTCAAATCGTTAATAGAAAGTAGTTTAATTTTGGAGGTGTTAACAATTAACAGACTGTAGATCGTTTTTGACATCAGCTACCAATTTGACACTATCAAGCTGATCAGACCTACTATCAAGACAAGAGTAAATAATATCACCAGCATTGTTAAAACAGAATCTTGCTCAATCAACAGAATAACAGCACTTCACCAAGCAACAGAAAATGTTCCCCGAGGAGAAATTTTAAAAAAAACTTAAATACTGCCACATGGTTATATCCACTTTGGCAGGAAGGGAAATAAGCTACAGTTACTTCTTAAAAAATATCCCTTAGTAGGAGTATAATTTGTTAGCCAAGTTCAATCCTAGGTAGAAGTTGGTATTTATGCTTGTTAATTATACTAAGTTGAGAGATAATACCATTAGAAAGTCATTAATGAAAATTAAAAATAAACTAGTACCAATAACATAGCCCTGTGGGGACACCTGCATTAGTACAAATGGATCTAGAACAGTGGCTATTCAGGACCAGTTTTATTTTATAAAAATACACTGAATCAATTCAAAAATTTGTCCAGAGACACCATAACTGGGATAGAGAAAACAGATAAAAAACACAGAAATAAAATAAAAAATGGAAAACACAAAACATCAGGAAAACAGGATTTTTATACTAAAATATAAAATATTCTGACAGTAAAACATAAAATTCCTGAGCTGGGACTCAACAGAAACATTGTTTTGCACAAATTTGCAATACACAGCCAAATCAGTCACTTATGCGCAAGTGCTACAACCTATATTGCTGCAACATGTTATTCTATAAGCAACACGGGGCCATAAGCAAATTCATGATATTAACCTGGCAAAAGTGGTCAACCTTTGTCACCAAAAGACAAATATCCACATGCAATATTAGCATATGAGTAGTGTGGCACACTCCATCAAAGGTAGTAAAAATAAAAGTTTTTGTTTGTTTAGTAATTTTTAAATGCTGGATTGATTATCTTTCATGATGAATAAACAAAAAAGCTAGCAAACTTGATGGGTGCACACTTTCAGCAAAATACAGAGCTGAAGAGCCAGCTTCCCATGATGATTTTTATCATGATGGCAAATTATTTTGCAGTTTTTGTCAGCACACCATAGATTGGACTCAGAGGAACATGCTTGTGGATCATCAGAATTTGCTGGAGTACACAAAAAAATAAGATATACCTACATAAGTAGGCTATATGTTTGTATATTTTACTGTTGACACACAAGTATCTATTTTTCATGTGTTTTTATGATTTTGAAACAAAAACAGAAAATTGAAATTTACCATCACCGAAGAACACAGAATTTGACATTTTAGAACAGAGAACTTGCTACCATAACTTTTCAACTTGTGAAGAAGACTGGTATGCTAGCCCTTGCCAAATGCTTTCAAGATGTCCTAAGCAACAGCCCAAGTTCCACCGTTCTTATATAAAGCTTGATAGACACTTTCTACAATAATCCATAATACATCAGCAGTTGACCTAGAGAAATGAAAGCAGTAATGCTTGTCTGAAAGAAGGCCCTACAATGTTATATGCTTAATTAATTCAGGTTTTATTAGGGCCGCTAGCAGCTTAACAAAAAAAAAAAAAAAAAAAGGTAGAAAGTGGACAATCTAACAGTTGGATGGGTTAGACTGTTCACACAAGTTCTTAAAGACCAGAACAACAGATGAGGATTTTCAACAACCAGGAAAGCAAGAAGCAGCAAGGAATTTATTATACAGTTTAGCAAGAACAGGAGCAAGTTTGAGAGCACACTTCTTAAGGAATATTACAGAGATACCATCAGGTGCACATGCTTTGTGGGGATCCTGATTAGAAATGATAGGAGAAACCACGGAAGGGGTTATATGCATATCATTTAACAGAGACTTGGTTCTAAGTGGAAAGTTAGGCAGAGATTCTTAAGATAAGTAGAGTTTAAAGAGAAATTACAGGTGAAACATTCTGCTTTAACACAAAATGTTTAAAAAATGATGGAATTTAGTTGATAAGATGACATATATAATCATAAAGGTTTTTTTTAGAAAAAGCAACATATTAAAATGATTGATCACAAAGTTTCAAAAGATATGCAAGCCATCCATGGAAAGACTACAAAGAGTTACTGTAACTGTCCCTCTTCTTGATGGTTGGCCTGAAAACATCTTCATATTCAGGTCTTCTTCAAGAACATGCTATCAAGTGAGGTGGATGGAAAAGGCCATATACGCAATAAAGATTGACCAATTTCATCAACAACTGTAGTTATCTGGTCAAGAAATAAAAGGAATAAGTAACATATTTTGTTAGCCTTGTATATGTCCATTTTTGGAATGAGGCAATTGTAAGCTGATGAGTACCAAAAAATTATCTGGACACAATTTCACTTTTAAACTGCTACACTGAGAGAATTGTCAAAGTTGGATAAAAACTACTTGTGTTTCAAAGAAAATGCCTTAGCAACTTTGTCACCTACCACACAAAACAATCTTTGAATTTTTAGTCATGCAGAAGTCAGTGATGTAGAAAAATGATGTATTAAGAAGCTTCACCAATGCTTATACAGTGGTGAAGGAATCTGCAGAAAGTAGCATTGCCCTGATACAACAGGTCACTCTGAGTTGAACAAGGAAAAAAGAAATTTCTGCAAATAATTGTTAAACACCATGTAGAAAAGCTGTCACCAAACAAGCAGAAGCAACGATTGCATCTTGTGAATTAACAGAACAAAAAAAAAAAAAAACATAGTTAACATTACAATTATAAACTGAATTATCTTTCTGGGTTTTTTGTTTGTTTTTTTTTTGTTTGTTTTTTTTTTACTTTTGTTGGGTGAATTGAATAATAAAACAAAAACAAATTCTGTCTTCACTTTAATTCTACAAGGGACTATAAACAGCTACTGGATAGAAGCACTCTTTACCAACTGAATAACCCTGTTAGAGATTGTCTGTTTCATGGCCAACCAATATGATACTAGTTGGCCATGTTTATTCATGCATTTAGATCAAGTTAAGCTTTGTTGCCAAGTTTCATCAAGCCCACATGACTGATTCTTGAGATAAAGAATCAACTTCCCTTCATATTATCATATCCAATAAGAACAAGTAGGTGCCAAAATCAAGCAAGTACAAAAATTTAATATCTAGGAAGTGTGAAAGTGAAATCCAAAGGCACATTGGAATAGTGAAAGATGCCTTCCAAAAGCTAAGCAAAGTATTAAGAAACAGAACAGTTTCATTAGAAACAAGAAAAGAGTACTGAACTGTTAAGCAACATTGGCCCTCCTATATGGTAGTGAATGCTGACAACATCTTCACATGAAGAAAAGACTTGAGGCAACAGAAATGTGGTTCTACAGAAGGATGCTGAGAATACCATGAACCGAACATGTGAGTGAGCAATGGCAGTTTTAGAGAAAATGGAAGCGAAGGACACTTATACCTTACATTAGAAAGAGACAGTTAAAATTTCTAGGGCAGTTAATGAGGAAAGAGGGCTTACAAAAATTTGATATTCACAGGAGGAGGACATACTGAGGGCAAGAGGAGACAGAGGAAAACAATGTATATAACTTCTGCCTAACGAATTTGTGTAAATGATTAGCAGAAGAGGGATTAGGAGACATAGCAAAAAGACAAATTTTACCAAGAGCTGCAAAGAATAGGAATTTGTAGAGAGGTATAATTGTCCACGTCTTGAAGGAACAAGGCACATAGAAGAAATGTGCCAAATGAGCAACCTCTCTAGTCTAGATATCATCCAATACGATAGAAAGTACCTAATAAAAATACTGATCAGATAATGTTAAGATTTATTGCGTAAAAAAATACACAATTGTGGCACAAGGCCAAAAAGGAGGGAATGGGGTTGAGGCTGGTTGTCACTTATACCTAGCTAATCAGATTCACGACCCATTAATTCGTTACAATTGACACATTCACAACAAAAACTCATCCATCGCCAATCAATCCTCCATATACCATAATACCGCACACTCCCAGAGGAGACCTAAAAAAAACAAAAAAACATCAGATAATAATAATGTTTTAGTTTTCAACAAGAACGCCACGTCACGTGTTAGTCATTTTTAAATGACTACAGTTTTTGGCTTGTAGTATTTTTTTAATGATAAATAAGGTCAGTGCATAAATTTGTAATTTTCAGAATTTTTTTTAGCTTACATTACAATGCAATTTAATAATTCATTAAAAATGGACATTTAACTAAAATAAAAAAACAAATTTGTAATTTAGGTTAATTAATAGCTCGTTTTTGTTGATGTAACAAAAATAAAAAAGCCTCTTACGAAAAATAAATTTACATTTACAAGGTTTTTATTTTCGGGGGTATTTGCCAAAATACTTTTTTAAAAAAAATCAACGTAGAATAACTTTATTTTATTTTTATTTACCTTGATTCATTATATGACTAAACAATTTTTCCTTTAAAAATTCCATACAATAAAATTAACTTAAGTGAACTTTACAAAAATTAATTCTGAAGAAGTTTTTATGGTAATGACAAAATAAAATTGAGAACATTTATTTACAAAATAAAACAAAATTATTTTTAAAACAAAAACAAGTGACTATTTTATTATTTAAAAAAATTAAAAAATAAACTAATTTCGGTTTTATTTTTGAGTTTTTGTTTCTTAATGCAAAACTCCTTTTCGTTACAAAGCTTTTCACGTCTTGTATAAATTATTTTAGTTTTTAATTTGGAAAAATCATGGAGTGACGAGAAAGCGCCATTTGATTGCAAGCAAAACAAACAAGTTTTTTTATTATTATTATTTTCCTCAAGTAAAAAAGCCCAAAAATTCAATGAAAGAATTGTAAATATTTTTAATGCTTTTTTTGCGGAGGCTTAGGTCTCGTTTTCCAAGGAAATCGTGAATGAACATATGGTGTAATAAAAATTTAAGAAAAAATAAGAATTGAACACTAAATTAATATTTGATATAGTCTAATTCTCTCTCTCTCTCTCTCCTTTTCAATATTATTTTCTTTTTTTTAATTGAAAATATTATGGTCTTATTTTCATTTTTATATAACCATGGTAAATAAAGAAAGCTCTACTGTTTAAAAATAAGATTGTAAATTAAACAAGAAAAACTTGAATAAATAAACATTCAAGGCTAAAATAGTAAATATACAAAAACAACATAAATGAAGCTATGTAATAAATTTTATGACTGCATTTCAAAATTGAGGAATGAAATACCACTTGACGTACATTAAATTGATGATTTAATTTGAAAAATAACAATAAACATAAAAATTGATTAAGAATAATATTAAATCAATAAGACTTCAGCTTAATTTCCAGATATTACTTACCAGTTCTACGACCTGTGTCCGAGCATTCATCCTGTGTAAAATATAGAAGTTACTTCAAAATACATGTTTAGTTTACAACTAGCTCGCCATTTTAAGTGATCATCCTTTACCGTAAAGCAAACTATAACTTTAGAAATAAACATGTATGTTTTATTTAATTTATAATTATTTTCCTGGAATTTATTCAGTTGAAAGTACATCAAATTTTATGCTCTATCTTATTATGCTTTTTATAAGATAATTCAATAATTTTCTTTTTGACAATAATGTCGTTATATTTCTGTTATTGCCGTAGGTTGTAATTAGCAGTCAACTGCGCATGCGCGAACTCATGACATCGCAAGCAGACGATTTTGACTGAGGTATTCAGAGAAAGACTTACGTAACTTCATTGAAAATCAGTATTTGAAATAGAGTGTAGCGATAGAAAAAGAAAAAGATCACTATTTTAAAAAAATAGAAAGTTAGAAGTTAACAAATCATTTTGGTTTGCCATAAAGAAATAAAAACAAAAAGATAAGGAAAAAATAAAGAAATAAAAAAATAGTCCAAAAAAAAGGTTATCATTTCTAAATGTAAGATAAAGAAAAACTTTTTCTTTATCTACATTTAGGAATGATAACCTTTAAAAAGGGATTGTCGTCAAATAAGTAATTTCTGGAACCAATCAAAACAAAATCAAGAACAATTCGGGAATGAATTCTATTTTGTCTTAAAAAAAAATGTTTAAAGACAGTGACGGGCAGGCAAACGGACCAGACCAGCCGTTGAAAAGAATTTCATCCGCTGTCCCTGACCCTCAAGCTTCGGACATACCTAAAAATTCCACAGAGGGGGTCAAAAGAATTACTACTATCAAGAAATACTTACATACACATTAGCAAAGACTCAGACTCACTCACTCACTCACTCTCTCTCTCTCTCTCTCTCTCTATCTCTCTCTCCCTCTCCAAACACATACGCACACACACACACACAGAAAGACTTTCAACACGAGAACTTTCTGATTATTTTCGTTACAACAAATTTTTAGCACTTTTTATTTTTTTTTTTATTTTTTTTTTTTTGTATGACAGACATTAATTTGGAAAACCTTGCAAAAATAAAAATAATTGTTGGATGTTAATGAAACTTTCAGAAACTATTCACAAATGATGGAAATTATTATAAATATGTTTTCTTCTTTTAATTCATGGAAAAAAAAATTTATCTATTACCCCCACCCTAACTAATTTTATGAAAACTCTAGAAATGCATTCAGTTTTGTGATTATATTAGGCTTTGAGGAAAGCAAATTTATTTTTATTTTTTTAATTGAGCCCCCCTACCTGAAAATCAGCTCTGAATTGTACAAAAGTAAAACTCAATAAAACAAAGATATTATTTAATTTCAAATGCTTTTATTTGCTTTTAGTTGTTTTTATGAATATGGACAATATTTTCTGAAAGCAAAAAAAAATTTCGATGAAAAATGAATTTTTATTACAATTATTTGTTATTACTTTAATTATAATAGATTTTTACATTTAAGTTTTTAAAATTAGTTAAGCCGCATCTCGTTTCCTAAATGTCCTTATTTTTCTTTCTTTCTTTTTTTTTGTCTTTTTTTTAGCGGTTTGTAAATTGTATTTTTGACTAATCAGAAGATCCGCAGTAATTAAGAAATCTAATTTTGTGTTTATAATCGGGCTGTAATTATAAAGTACGGAAGACCAACCAGAATACAATTATGTTGCGTTATTTGAGTTAAGCGTTATTCTCCGCTGTTAAGACCTTTACTTTTACGAACACGTGTGGAGAAGTTAATTTGATTTTTCAATTTCAACTGAGAAGGGTATCTACAAGTATCAGTATCATCTTATGAAATTTATATGATCTTATTTTTATATTAATCTCAGTTATGACATATGAAATATCAAAATTAATAATAAAATGAATGGAAATACAAATAACACAATAAAATGTAATAAATGTACATAAAATTATACTATTTTATGTACACTTCTGATAAAATTTCATAAAAAAGGTACCTATAAATTAATTAGATACCTTTCTTATGAAAATTAATCTCACTCTCAACAGTCTTATTTTAATTTCTTTATAATATATTTTCCATAAAGCATCGTAAACGTAAAGGTGAAAGTTAAGTACAAAAAAATTAAGGGGGGGGGTGAAAGTTTTCCTTAAAAATAACGAGGTAAATAATTTGTTCACTTAAATCTAAATAATTTCATAGAATATTTCCGTAGAATAAATTATCCTCACGTAATCTGTCAATACGACTTGAAATTGTCATTCATCACCTGTCAAGTGACGCGAAATGTTATGACCTGCTTTGTTTTATTTTCAAATTACATCTTTTCGGCACAGAAACTAAATAATGCTTATTTCAAAATATTTTAAATAAACATTATAATTTCTGATTTTCTTAAAATAAGTTTTGAAAAAATTATAATTGATTTTTAAAAGAATTTCAAACTGAAATTTTCATTTTTTTTATAAAATGGGAAAAATGGCTGACATGATTGATTATCTGTTAATTTTGCTGACTAAAAAAAAACAAGATTTTTAACGAAAATTTTGGACGTGCTAGGAACGATTAAAAAATGTAAAAAAATAATACCTCCAAATACTTTGATCTTTCCTCTTAATAATAACATAAACATTTAGACGATAAAGTTTTGTGTTCATCATGTTTGGCGTCTTTTTCGTCATACTATGCTCCTTTTTTAGCGATCTCATGGAGGTACCTATTTTAGAATGCCTATATTTGGCTGCTGGTAGTGCTGATAATTCGGCCAAACCTGTGAAGACAATTTCAGATAGGGTTCATATGACGCCAGCTGGTTTCAAAAAATGTCTCCAAAAAGCGATGACTGGCGGTGGGGATGGACCCCACTTACACACGGTGATCAATTTGGACTGGTCATTAAGTATACCACGAGTTGCTCCTCCCCCTTAATGTTTGGTGAGTACCTACATGAATCCAAAGTTTTTTCGCACCTATGTGAGAAGTCCAAGACTTTGTCGTCAGTTCTTTCATTTTCATTTTTCATGCCTGTGAACTGGTAGGGAAAAAAAAGTTCAAAAGATATAAAGGCTGGGTGAGGAGATAGAATGCCATAAAATCAAAGATTACTTAAAAATGATTCTTGCTTATTATTGAAACAGTTACATTTTCATTCTCATAAAGTCAACTTCTTTCAGACTAAATACTGAAAAAGGAAATTCGACATCAACATAAATGTGTGTCTATATCTCTGAGATGAGCTATTATGATTACTTACATTATTTGGACTGTTATCCTCATTATTCATTGCCATATTCACAACGTTGCTCAGATGATTGGAATTTCGAAACGAACCCTTTATTTCGTCCACCGGGGTAGGTTATAGTTCCACGTGCCATGCCTCTTCCGGATGTCTCAGCTGTTTACTTTTTAACTCAACTATCCAAGTTTTTGGTTCACCACGGCTGTGGCCTGGTATTGAACTTACAACTCTAACCAATGCATTTATCGACTGGACTATGTGTCCTTGAGAATATCTGTGCATGAATTTTGGGTCTTATAAACCTAATGCCTCAGAAACTATTTTTACCAGTGCTCATATTGCATTTTTTGTTATTATTATTGCATATTTTTTTTACCAGAGCTTATATTGCAATTTTTGTTGTTATTCGTTCCTTTTCTCTAGCACTCCTTATTACTGGTTCCCGTATTGTATTCATTTTTATGCTTGATCGGCTCAGGAAATTTTTGTGGCTTAGCATATGTGCTGATTCCTTAGATTTTTGTATTTTCCATTGATGCTCTCTGTCTATTATTTCAATCTCATCCCACAGTGGGCGGTGATCACCGTTTTCCCTCTATATGTGGTCAATTACGCCTGATTTTTCTATTTCCTTTTGTGTTACCGATTTACGATGTTCATGTAGTAGTCTTACCTTAAGGGAGCGGCCTGGTTCTCCTTTGTATTTCTTACCACAACTGCATAGGGTGGCGTAAGCAGAGTCCTTAGTCATGTTCTCTTCTACGGGGTCGGGAGGTCTTACTCGGAAGAAATGTCTCCGAAGTGTTGTTCTGTTTTCATTGTAGTATCTTTCCTTACTGTAATGAGGGCTTCCAGTTTTTTTTTTTTTTTGTATATTTTGATTCGTCCATAACTATAGTTGCATTGCCTTTGTCAGCTGGTAGTATGATAATGCTTTCATTCCTCTGTAGAGTTCTGATTGCCAGCCTCTCCAGTTTTGTAATGTTTGATTTGGATGGCTTAGCTTCCTCCAGTGTCTGTCTCACTTTCCATTTTAGTTCATCCACCTGAGACTGAAGAAATTTCAAGGCTATTTCCTCGATTCGAGCAATGATGTCCAAGTATGGCATCCACCCAATGGTTGTGGCGAAGTTGAGATTCTTGTTTAGCACTGACTCCTCAGAGGTACTCAGCTGGTTTTGACTGATGTTGACTACTGCCTTTACTGGTAGGTGATGGAACTTGTGCGTCATCTTCTGACCTTTTAATCTACTTATTTTTTTACTTGGCGGGCCTTGACTGCATCGAATTCATGTCTGAAGGATTTATCCTAGTCGTAATGGATCCTCTTTCGTTCTTCTTCATCGGTAATTCTGTCGAAGAAGGCCTTCAGTCTCGGAGGGTGGGAGATATCAGATTGTAGTTTCTGTTTTATCCAACAGTTCTACTGGATTCTCTCTCGAACAAGGGTGTGTCCCGCTTTCTCTGCGAACAGAAAAGCTGTTCTTAAATTGAAGGGGAGTCTTGGTGCCAAGCCTGAAGAAATGAGTCGTAGGTTTCTGCATCAATGTAGGAATATCGTGCCAGCTTCTGGTGAGACTTTTCCAGTTGTTTCTATATTTTTGGTATATCGGGTGGTCCGTACCGATTCTTCAATATTTGTATATATATATATATATATATATATATATATATATATATATATATATATATTTCAGAGATGAAGTATTATGATTACTTGCATTATTTACATTATTCAAATTGTTATCCTCATCTTCAGTGCCATATTCACAACGTTTCGGACGTTGTACACTCCGGCCTTCTTTAGGTGATTGGAATTTCGAACCGAACCCTTTATTTCGTCCACTGGGGTAGATTGTTCTAGTTCTACGTGTCATACCTCTTCCGCATGTCTCAGTTATTTCCCTTTAACTCAACTCTCCAAGTTTTTGGTTCACCACTGCTGTGGTCTTGTATCGAACTCACAACTCTTCGCACCAATAATCTATTTTATCCAATTTGGGGGCGAATAGCGAATGAAATGAGCAAGTAAATCCAATGTTACCTAAAAAACAATAGAACCTCTTTTATTAAATTTATATTTACAAACTTCTAAACCAAAATGCAAATAAAAGTTGAGCTAAATATTTATTATTATTATTATTATTATTATTTATGGCTTGTTTTTCTTTCTACAGTAAAAATATAAATTACTATTAAATATATTTTATTGACAGCACTACCAATAGCAATAAACGTCCAAATCTTTATAATTAGAATACGAAACGTGAAATTTCTTTCATAGTATGCTTAATTATATTATGCAACTGTAAGAATCCTCAGTTTTTCGTTGAATGTTAAAATTCGGAGTGTCGGGATTCGATACAATAACAAAATATTGTTGCTGGGTCGGCCGTTTAGAATAATCAAACGATTTTCATTGAAAGAATAAAATTCAGTAGAAAGACAACGGAGTGTTGCGGCGCTAAGCAGGTTGACTGTTAACCCCGCAAACGGAAAAATAATATAAGATAATACGATCGAAGCAAGGACAACAAAAACGAGGATGTAAAAGTTTAAGCCAAATTTTATTAAATAAATCTGGCACGAATATATACAGATAATCGTTTGTAGTAGTTCGGTCGTGTAGTCTTGGAGGAGCGTTGTCAGGTTTCAAGGCGACAGCTTGAGGTAGGCCGAATGGAAACAGGGATGTCCGAGGTCCAGTCGATCCCTGGATGTCTGTACTTGAGTAAAGGGTGCGTCGGCGCTTGCAGAGAGAGAGGATCGACGCGGACAGTGCTGTGGTGTAGTCAGTTCGTCCTTGGGTGGAGTGTCGCGCAGGATCGCAGCTTGGTAGTCCTAATAAAAGGACGCGGCTAGGTTAGTCCTGAAAAGGACTATTGCATATTATGTAATCGAGGGCAGACTATTGCATATCATGTAACCGAGGATAGGCTAGTGCATATCATGTAACCGAGTGTAGGCTAGTGCATATCATGTAACCGAGTGTAGGCTAGTGCATATCATGTAGCCGAGGATAGACTAGTGCATATCATGTAACCGAGGATAGACTAGTGCATATCATGTAACCGAGGATAGACTAGTGCATATCATGTAGCCGAGGATAGGCTGCTGCTGATATCTGCTGGCCTTGGCTGCTGCTGATGAGGAGGCCGGACTGCTCTGCTGGCTCTAGCTGCTGCTGCTGCTGCTGGCCTTGGCTGCTGCTGATGAGGAGGCCGGACTGCTCTGCTGGCTCTAGCTGCTGCTGATGTCTGCTGGCCTTGGCTGCTGCTGCTTCGTGTGGTCAGCGTAGGTGAGAGGGGGGAGCTCGTCGCTCAACCCCGAGGCCAAAAATCAGCCGAGAAGAAGAATTTGGTGGAAAAAATCCGCTGTGTATATATAGGCTGAGGTCGGCAACGTAGCCTGTCAGCGATATATTTGGGGTGATGACTGAAAATTACCTTCTACTTTTTATGTACACATGGATTCCATTCGGACACCATGTGTATATAAAGTAGTTTCTGGTAATTGTTTTGGTTAGGAAAGTTAGTATATGTAAATGTTTCGTTTTTTCTTAGTTTGTGTGAGACGTTGACTGAAAAACGCTTAGTCACCGGAAGTTAACGGCATTCGTTATGTTTTCCGCGGTGACGCTTTTAGATGTTTGAGTAGCCGGCAGTAACTTCCGGCCGGGTGCGATAAGGCCCCCCCTTCCTAGAGGATTGATCGTGATCAATTCACAAAAAAATGTAAGTCTTTAGTTTGGCAGGAAAATGAACTCTTCTGCCTGATTTTGTTCGTACGACTGGTGTTGTTGTTTCATCTTCCGTCGTTGTTGGTAAGTCTGGCTCGGGAGAAGTTTCCTCTAACCAAGCTGGTTTAAGTCGGTCGATGGAGACTGTATCTTTGTTTTGCCGCGCATGATCGTGACAAATTTCTTAGAACGCTTCAGAACTTTGAAAGGGCCTTGGTAGCTAGGTGTGAGAGGTTTTTACGGCGTCGTTCCTAACAAAAACAAAATCGCAGGTATCAATTTCTGTGGTAAGTAGGAGCTTGTGGTTTGTTTTTTCGTGGGGAGTGTATGTAAGTTTGTCCATTTTAGGCGCAGATCTTGCACGAAAGAACTTGGTGTGGATGTGCAAGAGTACTGCGGAAGGTGAAAATATTGCCCTGGTAAGGAGAGGCGTGCCAAACACGAGCTCTGCTGTCGAACACCCTAAATCCGTTTTGAGGGTATTCCGCAAAGAGAGCATGGTCATGGGGAGGTTGTCGACCCAGTTGTGTATGTCGAGTTTGGTTGACAGGGACGTCTTTAAGGATCGGTGAAATCTCTCCACGAGGCCGTTTGCGCAAGGATGGTAAGCCGTCGTTTTAATGTGTCTGACACCCAAAAGTTGAGAGAATTCTCGGAAAAGCGAGGACTGAAATTGTGGTCCCCGATCTGTAGTGAGAACTTGTGGTACGCCAAAGTTAGTAATCCAGTTGGTGAGAATGGCTTTAGAAACTGTGGTAGCGGAAATGTCCTTAATCGGCACAGCGACTGGCCATCTCGAAAAACGGTCTATGATTGTTAGAAGGTATTGGTACCCCTGGCACATTGGTAGAGGCCCGACGAGGTCAACGTGGATGTGGCTGAAACGTGCGTCGGGTGTGGCGAATGTTCCAACTGGTGATTTTGTGCCTCTGAATTTTGCATTTCTGACATTGTATGCAGGTTGAGACCCAATTCCTAATGTCTGAATTCATGTTGGGCCACACAAATCGATCGGCGATAAGCTTGACGGTTGCTCGCTTGCTCGGATGAGATAGATTGTGGAGATGGAGAAATACTTTTTTTCTAAGAGATGGAGGAATGTACGGTCTTGGAGTATCCAGTGCGGTGTCACAGAAAAGAGTTTTATCGCTGAACGGACACGGGAATTCCTGCAGTTTCAAAGAAGTCTCCTTAATGATGTCAGGTATCGTCGTATCGTCTTTTTGTTTGTCGGCTATCAGCTCCTGGCTCCAAACATCGTTATCCATGGTATTGACGTCTGTTCTGGACAATGTGTCTGCGACGGTGTTGTTCTTTCCTTGGACGTGTCTGATGTCCGTCGTAAACTGTGAGATGTAGTCGAGGTGACGTGTTTCACGGGATGTATACTTGTCTGCGCTGACATTCATCGCGTTGATCAGTGGTTTTGTGATCCGTGAAGATAGTGAAATGTCTGCCTTCCAGAAGATGTCGAAAATGACGTATGGACAGGTAGATCGCCAGGAGTTCTCGTGAGAAGGTACTGTATCTTCTCTGGGCTGCAGAGAGTTTAGCTGAGAAGAAGGCTATCGGCTGTCTCGTCATGTTCACTTGCTGCTCCACTACTGCTCCTATTCCAACGTCGGAAGCGTCTGTTGTAAGGAAAATTCTTGTTTCCGGGTCGTTTTCGATGAATGAGAGTTTTGTGAAGTTTATCAACGCTGTCTTTGCCGTTTCGAAAGCCCGCAAGGTATCTCCCTCTAGGGTAATTTGTTTGTTCTTCCGCTCTATGATGTTTGTTAACGGGGAGAGAATTGTCGAGCAGTCGGGTATGAACCTGCGGTAAAAATTTATCATACCGATAAATCGTCTGATTTGCTTTGTGGATGTCGGCGTAGGGAAGTTTTTTATCGCGTCGACTTTCTCGGGTAATGGTGTGATACCGTCCTTGTCTATATGATGGCCTAAGAAGTTCACCTCAGATGCCCCGAAAGTGCATTTGTCCATGTTCAGCCGGAGTCCATAAAGTGCTATTCTTTGGAACACTTCGTTTAGATGTTTTTTGTGTGTGTTCTCATCTATTCTGGCTACCAGTATGTCGTCGATGTAGGCATACGCGTACGTTAAGCCGCGCAGTACCTCATCTATGAAGCGTTGGAACGTTTGTGCAGCATTCCTCAGGCCAAAGGGCATCTTGAGGTATTCAAAGAGACCAAAGGGAGTGGTTACGGCTGTCTTTGGAATGTCCTCCGGAGCTATGGGGATCTGGTGGTAGGCCTTAGTTAGGTCTATCTTCGAAAAGACGCGAGTGCCCTGCAACCCTGAGGCGAAATCGTGAATATGCGGGACCGGATAGCGATCGGGTATGGTTGTAGCGTTTAATCTTCTATAATCGACACATACCCTAAAGTCTGTGCTTCCCGGCTTAGGTACGAGATGTAGGGGTGAGGCGTATGGGCTATCGGAGGGTCGTATGAATCCGTCCTGCAGCATGTTGTTAAACTCCTTTTGGGCGTATTCCAGCTTATGAGGAGGGAAGTCGTCGTGGGTGGGAAAAAGGTAGGCTGTCCACTGGTCTTTATATGGTGCTGTGTTTGGTGTCTTGCCGGACCGGTACCTGCGAGTGGTTGAATGAGGTCCGAGTATCTGTTTAGGATCTCGATGTACTCTCGTCCGTGGCAAGTTGTCACACTGATCCCAGTGGTGTTGTGTCGAGAGGTGCCTTTAACAGCAATGTTCGTGGTATTGTCTGATAAAGTTCTCGTATTCATGTGCACGGCTAGATCATAATGGGCCAGGAAATCTGCACCGAGTATTGGCGTTTTTACGTCTACCTGGGTGAAAGTCCATGTAAAATCGTGCCGCATACCGATGTTCAGAGTCAGTGTCTTGGCTCCATATGTCTCGATCGTCGAGCCATTTGCTGCCTGGAGTTTATACGGGGTCGCCTTTCGGTCTTGCTGTTCTTTGGGGGGTATCACACTGATAGCTGCTCCTGTGTCCACTAGAAACTTTATGTTGTTCCGTCGGTCCCATACGTAGAAGAGGCGGCTTCGTATGTTTTTGCCGGGGGGTTCTGCCGCTCCTACCCGCCGGCTGTTTAGTTTTCCGACTTGGTTTTGGAGCTGTATTTGCAGGGTGCCGAGCAATTCTTTGCCCTGGTGCCGAATCTATGATGGTACCAGCATAATTCCGGGTCGACTCGTCGACCCCTGCTGGTACTCCGTGCTCTCCGTCGCCAACCGCCGGTCGCCGGCATCGGGCCTCTCGATGTGCGGGAAAGGAGCATTCGTATATCCTGCCGCTGATGTTGCAGGTCAGCTACTGCCTTTTCCAGGTCCGTTTCTTTGGCTGGTGTGTCGTCTGGGCGCTGCACGGCACACACTCCTTGGTCCAATTTGCTAACTGGTCTAGTGGAGTGTGGTCAGCGATTGGTGCCAATATCTGCGTTATGGTAGTGGGTAACTTGTCCATCCACAGTTCACGCAAGATTGATTCGGCCATGGAATGTTTCCCCAGTCGGCTCCTCATGAAGCGTAGAAGCTGTGAGGGTGTTCTGTCGCCCCTGGTGACGTGGGTAAAAAGTTCCCGGAGCAGTTCCTCGTCCGAACGGCCGGTTCGTTTCAGAATAGCCTCCTTGAGGCGAGTATATGGCTCCTGCTCGGGTACGTGTTCCAAGATGTCGGCTACTTCGTCGACAACTGAAGGTGGCAAAACTTGTACCACGTTGACGAATTTTGCTTGTTGTGATGTGATTTTCCGTACCGAGAAAATGGCTTCCAGCTGTAAAACCAGTTCTTGGTGTTCTGCTCGTTGTACGGAGGGAGGTTTGTGAGTGGCATTGCCACATTTATGAGAGTGTTCTGTTCCCCACTCGTCAGTTGCCATCTTGCTCGATCGTAAATATCAGGGTCACCACTTGTTGCGGCGCTAAGCAGGTTGACTGTTAACCCCGCAAACGGAAAAATAATATAAGATAATACGATCGAAGCAAGGACAACAAAACGAGGATGTAAAAGTTTAAGCCAAATTTTATTAAATAAATCTGGCACGAATATATACAGATAATCGTTTGTAGTAGTTCGGTCGTGTAGTCTTGGAGGAGCGTTGTCAGGTTTCAAGGCGACAGCTTGGAGGTAGGCCGAATGGAAACAGGGATGTCCGAGGTCCAGTCGATCCCTGGATGTCTGTACTTGAGTAAAGGGTGCGTCGGCGCTTGCAGAGAGAGGATCGACGCGGACAGTGCTGTGGTGTAGTCAGTTCGTCCTTGGGTGGAGTGTCGCGCAGGATCGCAGCTTGGTAGTCCTAATAAAAGGACGCGGCTAGGTTAGTCCTGAAAAGGACTATTGCATATTATGTAATCGAGGGCAGACTATTGCATATCATGTAACCGAGGATAGGCTAGTGCATATCATGTAACCGAGTGTAGGCTAGTGCATATCATGTAGCCGAGGATAGACTAGTGCATATCATGTAGCCGAGGATAGACTAGTGCATATCATGTAACCGAGGATAGGCTAGTGCATATCATGTAGCCGAGGATAGACTAGTGCATATCATGTAACCGAGGATATCATGTACCGAGTGCATATCATGTAGCCGAGGATAGGCTGCTGCTGATATCTGCTGGCCTTGGCTGCTGCTGATGAGGAGGCCGGACTGCTCTGCTGGCTCTAGCTGCTGCTGCTGCTGGCCTTGGCTGCTGCTGCTGAGGAGGCCGGACTGCTCTGCTGGCTCTAGCTGCTGCTGCTGCTGGCCTTGGCTGCTGCTGCTGAGGAGGCCGGACTGCTCTGCTGGCTCTAGCTGCTGCTGCTGGCCTTGGCTGCTGCTGATGAGGAGGACTGGACTGCTGGCTCTGCTGGCTGGCTAGCTGCTGCTGATGAGGAGGCTGGCCTTGGCTCTAGCTGCTGCTGCTGCTGATGCTGATGAGGAGGCCGGACTGACGCTTTTAGATGTTTGATGTCTGCTGGCAGTAACTTCCGGCTTCGGTGGTCAGCGATAGGAGTTTCAACAAATAAACATTAATTTAACGACAAGAATACAAACAGTTGTCATGATATATTTGAAAGTAATGTCTTTTTTTTGGGTTAATAAAATCCATTCTGAAATAAAATATAAATTGTCTTTAGGAAAGTTAGTATATGTAAATGTTTCGTTTTTCTTAGTTTGTGTATTGAGAAAAACAATGAAAACGGCATGTTTGTTTTGAAAAAGTAGTCGACACGTGTGGGTGCGTGATTCATAAATAAATTAGGATACAAACAGAGATAATTAGAATAAGTTTCTTTGTTTTGGCGGTGTTGCTGTAAAATCTGAAATTGTTTGTCAACGCTGTCGCTTTTTGCATGAAAAAGTGAGGACGTAAAAATACAAGAAACGACTGTTACGTGGAGCTTAAAATGACAAACGACTGTTACGTGGAGCTGTGACGGCTATGTGTACCCTGTTTGGGACCGGATTTACATTTTTTCGTAACAAAATCAGCTCCAGAATTAAATTATTTATTTCTTCCTAATTGGCCTTAAAAAGTCACGTGGTATGTCTTCTACTACGTCCGCACGAATATTTGGGCGGTATCTACCTGAAAATAATGATGACTAATACAACAAACTTTCTGATTTGTATTCTATGATTTTATTGGTGCGTTTTAAGATGTAAGTGTTTTCCTCAGTGTGATTGGTTTTATAAATATTATATTTGATATTTTTAGACACAACCATCATGTAAGTTTGTTGTGTTAATATGGTGGCCATTTTATGGGAAAAAATGGAGACTTGTTTTAAATCATTGTTGTTCTAACGCCACACAAAGTTAAATGTACTCATACAAAGGAAAACAGTAAACAAGATCTCAGAATATTTGTAAGACAATATCCACCATTAAAATAAGTAAACTTTATTTATTTGTTTGTAATTCAAGTATGATTCTCTTAACAGAAAATATTTTATTTTTTGGTCATTAATTTCCCGCGCATTCTATTCTATTCAAGATCCAAATAGTCTATTATTATTATTAATTATTATTATTATTATTATTATTAATAGTAAGTAAGCATACATTAAAACTGATTTTAGTTAATTATTAATAACCAAAAATGTCACAGGAGACAAAGTGAAAAATTCAAGAATTTCAAAACAAACTTCATTTTAGTTCAAAACTGAAATGAAATATCTTTCTGTTGTGGTGTCCTCCCTTTAAAGAGTCTACGTTGGACTCTTCCGCCTACTATAAGATTATTAAGAGAGAAGGCCTTGGGGGGAACAATCGAATAGATTGAACGCTGGGTCAACCGACATACATTCACTTGTCGTGGAATTCTCTTCTGTTGTACTTACTGTTTAATATATGATATATCTGCAACACTTGTTTTGTTATTTCTTTAACCATTTACTTGAGCACAAAAGTTTCTCTTTTTGTTGCCATATTTCACAAATTCACAGAAAAACTTCCTCAAAAGATTTTGCTAAACAAATAGTAGACAAGAAATATTTACCTAACTACTACTGAGGTGAAATTGTTTTTCATTTATTTTTAACAACTGTCAATTATTAGATTTTTTTAATCGCTTTGTTCAACGTTTTGTAGTTTTAGTGTTAAACAATAAAATACGGTTAAGAAATGTTTCACAAACGAAGCCTTTTGTCAACCTTATTTATAATCTATAAATAAATACATCTGCAACACTTGTTTTGTTATTTCTTTAACCATTTACTTGGTCACAACATCTTGGCGACAAAGAATTCGATGAAAGGGACTTCACTTTAAATCATAAAAAAAACTTTTGCCAGTGTCTACAAAGGGGGGGGGAAGAGGAATTCTAATCAAACTCTACGACAAAAGGGTATCTAGTGTTAATTACAACACTGACAGTAAAAAAAACTCTTCAAAACAAGATGATTTCTACACGTTCTATTCAATGGTTGGGAAGAAGGTTGGTGAACCTTGTTATTTTTTCCATTCCAACAAGTCAGTAAAAAAACTGTACAAGTCAAACAGACTTACTGTTTTCATTAATAGGGTAAAGTAAAAATTTAGCCTCTCTCCCGCTTTTAAATTTTTCAGTCAAACAGACTTATTGTTGATTAAAAGGGTAAAGAGAAAAAAAAATTCCCCCCTCTCATTTCTTAATTCTACGTACCAGCGCAATAATATGGACGAATTCAAAAGTGCAGTGCTAGAGTTGATGACACACCAACAGGAACCACAGCTACTGTTGGGACAGAAACATCCTTAAAGACAAGAGAAATTCCAACGAGAACAAGCAGAATACCAAAAGAAATTTGAGGAATTACACCTAGAAATTCAGGTTAGACAAGAGAAACTTGAAGAAATATTCCTTCAAACACAGAATGAGCAAAGGCACTTGTATAATATATCCATCAAAAGCCAAAATGAGGACAGCGAAAACGTGTTCTCTCAAAATGCGATATGGAATGCTATTGAAAACTTCACGTTTTCACCTGAAGAATAAATTACATTCGCTTCGTACTTTAAACGTTACGAGGACTTATACAATACGGATTGTGCAAGTTGGGCTGACCATAAAAAGATTCGCCTACTCCTCAAGAAATTAGGCACAGCAGAATATACTAAGTTTGTTAACTATATTTAGCCTAAGAAAACCGGCGACTTGAAATTTAAAAAGGCGGTTCAATCATTAACAGAACTCTTCAGTTCAAAAACATCACTGTCCCACAAGCGTTGGAAATGCATGAATCTCACCAGCAAAGAAGACGGAGATTATACTACTTTCGTGGGTGTAGTCAATAAACACTGGGATGATTTCAAATTGGCAGAGTTAAGCGCCAATAATTTTAAATGTCTGATTTTCTTCCAGGGTTTGATTTCAGCAAAAGACGCCGAAATACGTCGTAGGGTACGCAACAAGCTTGAAAACGAGCCCGACGTTACTTTACAGCAAGTTGCTGAAGATTGTCAATGTTTCGTGAGCGTCAGAGAGGATTCGAAAAATATCGAACAGAGTGGCGTGACTCACATTAAGAAAAAATACGCCGAAGAAAAATTAAAAAGGGTCAACTAAAAAATTAATAAAGTTACTTTGCCATCAAGACCATGTTTCGGTTGTGATCAATTACATTGGTATAGAGATTGTCTTTTTAAAGATAAGAAATGTTTTAATTGCGATAAATTGGGACACAAAAGTTCCCACTGCAGGATTAAGAACAAGACAAAAAAAAAGTTTTGTAAAAATTACCAAGTCTGATGAACCAGAAAGTCGTAACATCAGGAAATATATTGAAGTGCAAATATTTAACAAAAATTTTTACGCTACAGCTTGATTCGGGTTCAGACTTATCCATAATTAATTATCAAACATGGAAAAAACTGGGGAAACCGACTTTGTTAAGAACGAAGCGAATAGCTAAAAGTGTAACTGGCGACCCTATTAAGTTTATCGGCGAACTTATAATGAATGTATCATTCAAAGGCAAAACTTTAAAACTAAAGACTTATATTATGAAGAATACGGGTAATTTGTTCGGGACTGATTGGTTAGAACAGTTTCAACTTTGGGATATGCCTATTAACACATTATGTCAAAAAGTCGAACATTTGACTGACGAAGCAGAAAAGTTGAAAGGTGAAAAAATTCCCGAAGTTCAGTGGAGGACTAGGAAAATGCAAATGTCTGCTAAGTTTGAGTTAAAACCAGACGTAAACCCAGATTTTAAGAAAAAAACGTAACGTTCCATTTGCCTCGTTAAATCAAATTGACGAGGAGTTAAATCGAATTGAGGAAATGGGAGTTCTGGCAAAGATTAATATAGTGAATGGGCATCTCCCACAGTTTATATTAAAAAAAAAAAAAAAAAAACAAAAGAAATTCGTGTATGTGCTGACTTCTCTACGGGCTGAACAGCGCCTAA